AATCCCGAGGGGGGTGTTGAGTTACCCGGCCCCCCTGACGAGGCCGAGCAGCCGGGACCTGCACCCGGGCCTGCTCCAGTGCCGGCTCCAGGGCCCGCTCCAGGACCCGCTCCAGGACCCGCTCCAGGACCCGCTCCAGGGCCCGCTCCAGGGCCTGCTCCAGGACCCGGACCAGTACCAGCGCCAGGTCCACAGCCGGCACCTGGGCCAGACGGAGAAGAGGGGTACAACTATCCCGTCCCGGATCGGAGATTCAGGAAGCGCAAGGCGTAAGCTGAGAGTTTTTGAAGTCAAAATGTCGATGACCTTTAAAAAAATCAATAAGACAAAAATAAGCCCTTGCCATGTAAAATATTTGTTTATATTTATTTCAAAGAAATGATAGTTTAGTGTGATAAATGTTTTTGTACCTATTTATTTTTGTAAGATAGTGTAAATTTTCGATTGTGAGGAAGTAAAGCATGAGGGAAACGCGTAAAAGGCTGAGGGTCTAGAAAGCAGCTATACGAGTGTACGTTTTGTGAGAAGGAAACTGCGCTGATGCCTGACCAAATAAAAATACCAAGAAACATTTCATGCACACATTATTTTTTCCATTTGTTTCAATTGTTTACTTCCCGGACAACTGTGCCTCACGCCGCGGCCGCGGACAAACATCAGTGTAGGTTGGGTTGCCTACTGCGTGGGCGTGCACGCGTAGCCGCCCAGCCCAGCTGCGGCGGCAGCCGAGAGTTGCCAACTACTTTGGAATGGGCAGACGTGGGGTGGAAGGAAATTGCACCGCCTCCATCGAGGGCCGTGGCAAGGAGATCAACAATAGAAAGAAGCCAAAGAAGAAGCGAATGGTAAACAATAGATGGCCGTGGCACAGGGCGGGGAGGCGCGGCGGGCGCGCGGACGGGTCGGGAGGGCCCGCTCGCCGCTCGCGGCGCTCGCTGCCTGCAAGCAATGCGCAGCGCAGTCGGCACAGCTCATGACAGACTGGGCGGAGGACGCTTTCCCGCCGACCCCGACCGACCCGCCGTGAGGAGCACAAGCTGGCCGTGACGCCCTAACCTCTCCGCGAGCATGGACGCGGCTACGCGCGCCCCACCGGCGCGGCACCTGCCTCCCGCCGATGTCAACCAGGTACTGAACGCCCGGACTCTTCGAAATGACATGCCCGTAGTGAAAACAATTGGTCGTGGTGAACAAGGAAAAAGTGCCCTCCTGGATTCCATTAAAAGGAGAATGAACCATTCCGGTAATAGCAGAGGAGAGAGAAAATGCGCGGGGAACATGAAAACGGAAGCCATTGTCTTTTAGCATTGTGACTTCTTTTCCCGCTCCCCACGTTCTTCCTCATTTCAGCTTGACCGGAATTCAATATATAATATACATATATTTTTAAAAGTTGACAATGTCCTGTCTCCTGTTTATACATCACCCTTGTATACACATTTCCTTAATTGTGATAGCATAGGATGAATGCGATTTAGTCCTCTCTGACGCTCCCCCAGGACTCTGCCTCGCCCCCCGACAGCTCGACCCGACAGCGACCCCCTATGATGAGGCCCCCTGGCCGCCCCCACCGGGGCCCCACTGCGCTCGCGCCCTGCCTCCACCCGCCCCTCATCCACCGCACCATCCCGCTGTCACCCGGCATCAGCTCTTACCAGACCTCGCCTGCCATGCACACACCTGCACCTGCAGCACCTGCAGCACCTGCGGAGCCCGCGGAACCACCAGCGTCACCGCCTGCATACCCTGAGTCGTTACTCCGAGTGACCACACCTCTAATGGGTAGCTATAAGTCGGATAATAAGTTGCATTTAAGTTTTGCATTACGTGCCGTACAACAATAATAAAGACTATGTAAACAAAAAAAACAACTTTCCATTCGCGTTATGCATAAATCATATTGATTCTGATACGCAAACGAACGCGAGATTTGTCTGTTCACTGAGTGAGGCGGTCCAATTAATAATGAGCAACGGAAAGGGTCGTTCGCGCCAGGCTGACCCCCTCTCGCTCTTTCCCTCTCCCTCTCTCTGTCTCTCTTTCCTGATCCGGCTCTAAAGAGATAAACTAATTATGTCATACCGGTAGTTCGCGAGCGCGGGTCGGTCGGCAGCGGAGAGCGAAGTAATCAGCTATCGCGGCACTTTCCTCAGGTGGTCCCCGTCATCAGAGGGGCGCGGGTCACTGGGGCGGATCCCGCTGCTCATCAACACCTCTGCTAATTGGACAGCCCTTCTGACAGGTAATCAAGGAGGCGAGGTGACGGCGCTCGTCAGGCGCGTGGCCTCCCCGGCCCCAGCGGGCCCAGCGTCCCGGCCGCCGCCGCCGCCCCCGCTGCCGCCGCCCCCTCCGCGGCCGCCCTCCAGGGAAGCGGAGGGCGCGGCGCTCACGCCGCTGGCGGCCGTGCCCCGCCGCCTGGCGCTGGCTGCCCACCGCGGCGCGGCCGGGACGAGCGCGGGGCCGCGGGCCGCGGCGGCGCTGGCGAGGGCCCGCGCCCGGGCGCGCCCGCACCGCGAGCCCGAGGGCTTCCCGGGCTTCAGCGGCGGCGAGGGACCCAACAACAGATTCCAGCCCGTGGGTGCGTTTCGTAAAACGGAGTAGCGGCGAAAGGAAAGTGCGCCGCACTGGTATGCGCACATACTTGAGCTCTCAATGGGTTGCTTTAATGTTTCAGTCCCCTTTCCGACGTCGACCCCCATGTCCCCCGGCGGAGAGCGCGGCGCTGCGGTGGCCAGGATACGGCGCGTGCACCGGCCGGCAGGTACAACAGTAGGGGGTGGCCAGAGGTTTCAAAAGATTAAAAGCGAGGGGAAATGAAAGACGCAAAACTCACGGACTCGAGGGAAGCGGGTAAAAATAAAGGGGGTGCTGAGGGATCTACGTCGTCGCTTTGTTCGCATAAAAGCGGAAATAAAGAGAAAGAGTCAATATCAACGTTAGCAATTTAGCTTTAAGGGTAAGAAGAGTCTTGTCGCTGCTCTTTTCTGCCTCCACCGTCCTCCGCGCCATCATCGACACCCTCAGCGTCTCCTCGCGGCCAGACCCGCCCCTCCCCCTCGCTCTCCCGCCCTTGAAGCCACCTGGCGCCTCGCTGCTTCTCGCGTTCGGCGCGGGCTGTGAGAGCCGCGGCCGGTGCTGAGGCAGGTGATATTCGTTATGGACCGTTCTCACCGCCAAGTGATTCCCCCACGAGCGAGCCCCGCCGAGGCTGGGCTGGGCGCCGACACGAGGCGGGGCGCTTATTCGCGACGCTGCGCTGCGCCCGACGCCGAGAAGCCTGCATGCCATTTGTGTTCAGCAATAGCGGTGGGGCTCTACGCCGGGCTGGGAAAGGGGGAAATGGGATGAGATGGACTCGGGAGTGGAGACACGCAGCCGGCGACGAGCAGTTCGAGGAAGCAGCTGCATCACTCGCGGTGAAGTTAGAGAAAAGAGGAAAAATGAAAAATGCACCCTTTGAGTTGAAAGTGCCGTGGCCTGGCGGTGGCGTCTGTTCCGTCCACAGTACCCCCCCCCCTCCCCCCACCCACTCGACTGTGACTCGGACTCGTAGCCTTAGCCAAGCGTGCATAGCCAGGGGAAGAGAGTGGAGCCGGGCTCAAAGGGTCCGTGAGAGCCGGCTGGAGGATAGAGGCTAGAAGGACGTCGAACCCCACGTGCCCGAGGGCATGTCTCTCCGAACAGGAAACCCGGCCTCGAGGACATTCCACTTAAGTCAAGAGACCCTACCCCTAAAAAAAGTGAAACCCCGAGTGAAACAGAATAATCCTTCAAGATCGAAAAATTGCACAACCAGTTCGAAAACTTTAATCTCTCCCTTCCCCATCTGCTTCCACAGACCCGCTGGCGCTGGCGCTCGCTGCAAATGTTGGCGTCCCGAACAACCCCTACCGCCGCCTCAGGGGCGGACGCCAACCTGCTCCCATTTCACCACCCCCTTCAACAACGCCCCCGATGTCACCGCGCCCCCTGCT